AGAATTTTGATAGGAACCCTGTTTGGTGGCAAGATGGTTACTGCTGCATGTGGAAAACTACCAAAAAATAGGAAAGTTATTGCACAAGAAAAAGATACTTCTTGTGATTCAGTGAGATCGTGGTAGGAAAGTAGGATTCCATTTTGATATGTTGCTAATAAAGCCAACTTATGGTTTGTTACTTCTGCCCTACTCTAAACTATTGCATTCTTCCAGTTTCAAATCACCTGGGTTTTCTTTAGCTCATGATCTATCTGGAGATGTTTCTTCTTTGTCGAGAAGAATGTTTACAATGTAGCTGGAGAATAGAATCTGGGATTGACCATAATGTATCAGTTTCATTTTAGCTCTGCCATTCTTGTCTAGTTTCATTTTGACTTTTTCAAGCTGTCACCATTGTATAGATGTCTTGGAGACACCTGTAACTTTATGGAATTAGAGACATTGATAAGAATGTTGAATTTCAGTTTCATTTTCAACATCAAAACATTAACTGCTACAAACAATAATGCACCTAGTTTCAGGAATTCAGAACTCTCTCACATATATCCTGTATTTAAGACTATATCTTCCAACCCCCATTATTACATTGATTTTGATATATCTCATTGCTAATTACTGGGCATGGTATTGATATTTTGGTCGATGCATATTGTGTTAAGAATAACACAATATAATTCCTTGTACTCTATTGTAAAGAATAACAATTTGTGATCCTTTCGGCCTATAATTCTTTTCATAGTGTATACTGGTAGCACAAACCCATAATTGGATAGCATGAGAGAATCTAAATTGCTTCTTTTCCTTCATATTGTTTTCTGTCATCCTAACAAGTCATTGTTTATGTGGATTGTTTGGTTGCTGGCTCCATGATTTATAATATGTAAATATGCCAAACTAGAACATGCTTGATATGCTACTAGGTGCTACCTTTGCTTTTAGTTTGTATGATCAATCTTGTTTCTTCCTAAAATAGATGCTTTTGTAGATCATTCCTATCTGATAAATCATGAACACTGATGAAGCTGACTCTGTCATATTGTTATCTTTTCAACTCATTCATATTTCACCGTGAAGGATCATCATTCTATTTGTTAAGTGAATTAAGTGGTTAGACATCCATATCTTCTCTTATGACCTTTTATGGCAAAAGAAGGATATGTAATTAACAATAATATGCTCAATTGTCAGGTTGGAGAAGATGGGGGCTTTAGAAGTCCATAAATTGGTTAATGAGCACCAAGGGTGGCGCCTTCTTTCTTGCATTTGGCTACATGCTGGATTGATCCATGTAATTACCAATATGTTGAGTCTTCTCTTTGTTGGAATTCAACTTGAGCGAGAATTTGGATTTGGTATGTTGCAATTTAGCTATAATATCAGTTTTTCATTCTGACATGCAAACAATAATAAATCACATATGGCTTAAAACACCAATCAGATTGGGTATGTACTGGCTAGTACTTACCGGTCCGATCAAGTACCAGTAATTGTACGGATCGTTATGTACCACTATCTAATCCATTATTCTTTATGGTGATACTAGACATAGGCCAGAATACTCTAAGTACTATTTGATAAGGTATCAGAATCATTATCAGTGTGGAATTTAAAATCAATTATATCACATATTGGTGATTGTACAATTATGCATTTTCCTGATGCCCTTCTGACTTGAGCAGAATCAGCCGCAACAATCTGTAATTTAGAACTTTCTCAGTTTTGTCGTAGTATGCAATATATGCTAGATACATGATCTTACTTGTCTCATTCTGTTGTGTTTTATAGGTCTACACAGGAATTATTCAGTTTTTACTTTCTTATGTAGGTTGTATGCATTAATTTGCATCATCTGCCATTCTAGCATGGCCAAGTCATAAGAAGTTTCAACCTTGGATTTTCTTATCCTTGTTTCACTATTTAGCAGTATTCATGCGTGCAGGTTTCATGTTGCATTTAGGAGCTTGTTATTGAGATAATGATCAAGATATTTCATTAAATTTGACAGCCACCTAGGTCCCCAAAATGGCATCTGTGATACCTGTAAGCAACATCTCTTTACCTATATCATCAAAACAACAGCGTGGTTTTCACAATAGAAGAATGGCAGTTTTGCTTTTCATATAATGTTATGCAATGCCAATTTTTATGAAAACAATATGAAAATGCATGAACTTATTTATCAGTTATGTAATTTGTCCTAAAGAGAAGGTCTTTGCTAATCGCTAGAGCTACATGTTTCTTTTTGAAATTGCATCCTGTAGATGCCAAGTAATTTAGCATTTGCAGGCCTTACTCCTAGTGGCCACTGAACAGGTGGTAGGTAATTTTAAAGATGATGATTGGAGATGATAGATTTTTGATGTAAAGAAGTAAAGAACATCCAGATTCCATCTTTGTTTGTAGAACTTGCTGTGTCAGGTTATTCCTAATTGTTGCCACTTAAGTTTCAAGATATGGAGGAGCTTTTAGAAGATAAGCTGGTTAAATTTGAAATTAGCAATACTAATTGTCCTCTAGCATTGTCAGCTTTCTACCTTTAGTTTCTTTTCCTTATACCAGGAATTTGGTAAAGATGGTATAAACAATGCTCTTGAAGGTACAATGAAGACATTGAAACTGATACCGAGCATACACCTAATATTTGTCTTTTGATCAGACTTTGGAGATGAGCGGGCAATAAATATTGTTGCTGCTTAGTTTATTCATTCTACAACATGCGGAAATATTTTTATACGTAATCTACATGTTCACTTATAGATTGCTGAACATTTCATCTTGATAGATGAGAAAGAACAAAGGCCTCCGAAAACTATACCACAAATATCATATCTGATCTCCTCTTATTGTAACTGCCAATGTTGCAAAATTTTTTAGTGGCTTGAATTGTTTTCCTGTGTTACTATGCATCTATATCTTCACTTTGAGTTTTGCTTTCAGGATCATTTTATTCTTGCATTCTGCTTTGAACTCTTTGAATGGAGGACACCTTAATTTTTCTTTATCATTTTGCAGCAAGAATTGGCCTGTTATATATCATGTCTGGATTTGGCGGGGAGTCTATTGTCTTCTCTGTTTACTGCATCAAGGATCTCTGTTGGTGCCTCTGGTGCCCTGTTTGGATTGCTTGGTGGCATGCTTTCTGAACTTTTGACTAACTGGACAATCTATGCTAATAAGGTGATCTTGGAGATTTGTCATTTAAATAAATAGAAGCAATGATGCTGATACAATTTGGATCATATTTCTAATCCTCTTTGAATTTCATCTTCAGTTTGCAGCACTGTTGACCCTTATATTTATTATTGTAATTAATTTGGCTGTTGGACTCCTCCCGGATGTGGACAACTTTGCGCATATTGGAGGATTTGTTTCTGGGTTTCTTCTTGGATTTATGCTTCTAATTCGACCCCAGTTCGGGTGGGTTAGCCGAGAGAATGCTCTACCTATGTATCATTCAACCCCAGTCAAACACAAGCACAAGATATACCAATACATACTATGGATCACTGCAGCCCTCCTTCTGGTTGTTGGGTAAGTGATAGAGCTATGCTTTTCTTAATGCTGGGTGTTTTCTTGTACATTACTGTAAACCTTTGACTAAACTTATTGTCTGCATTAGTTCATCGGTGGGCTATCAGTGTATGTCTTCGATACATGCACCTTATAAGTAGTAGGCCAGATGCAAAACTGTACCAAAATTACATGTTGTCTTGTTTGTCAAAATTAAAATGAGAGCTCATAATCTAACTTTGACATGACAGACATGTTGAAACTTAGTATGTTGAAGCTTAAAACTGAGGCCAAACTAATAAATATACAGGTTCACCATCGGCCTCATCATGCTGTTTCGAGGGGTTAATGCAAATGATTATTGTCCTTGGTGCCGTTATCTAAGTTGTATTCCTACGTCAAAAAAGAGTTGTTCATCGTCGCCCATTTATTGCTCGGTATGATGTTCTAACCTTTTTTTGTTGCTTATTTATGTCTTCTTTCCAAACAGTGGCTACTCTTTGAATTTAATTCTGCCCAAAATTCTTGATCTCGGTGATAACTTGTAGCTCAATGCTATTCTTACTACCTGAAAACAGACACTCATGTCCCTGCATGGACCATGAAAACCCAGATTGGTCGAATGTAGTACCATTGTAGTTTTGAGTTTGAAAGAGCTGCAGATATTCTTTTAAATGCATTCCTATCTTTTTGGGAGAATCATACAGAGGTTTTATTGCCGAAAAATCAAGTCAGGATATTTCAGGGAGGTTCTTTGGTGCCAGTAATGCTATCTTCATAAGTAGCTTTAGGAGTACTTCAAATTATCAGCTCAGCTTATTGATGTTGGTTCTATTTGTGCTCAAGCCTTTCGACTGTTTCTGCAGTCATCTCAAGAAGGGAGCAACGTGAACTTGTCATGCGAAGGCAGCAGCAGAACCCACAGCTACTTCTTGCCCGACGCAACGGAAGCTCGATTACGGGAACTGTGCTCCCAGCTATGCAGTTGACGATGCATTTTTCGTTTCTATTCCTCCATTATTTGTAGTCCATTTTAGATTCTTTGTACACATGGGAAGCAATGCTTTCTTTCTATTATAGGGTGTTGCTTTGTGTGGCCCCATTAATTTACGGGTCGCTTCAATCCAATTAGATACCTGTAAACATCGAATAGCTGTGATGGAAACCATGCTCTTTGCGTGATCGACAATTAAACGAATGAAAGGAACTATAAAACTTTGAACGTATCTACTCTTTCATGCAATCTTTTGTTCTCTTCTGGTAAAGAGTTGGTACCCTACTAATAACACTAGCAAGAACATTAATTGTTGAATCAGCAGGTTTTCTTTGCTAATTTACTTTACCTTGATGCTGGTAGCTACACTTTATAATCCAAAGTGTGACATTCTAGAACATTATAAAGAAAATTTCAGTGAAACTAATTATGAATTGCTCCGATCAAGTTATGATAAGAGAGCTTTATGGAAAAAGTTCATTCAACAACCAAAAAAAAAAAAGATACATGTAATTATTGATGTTCTCGGATGGTTGGAACTTCATGACCTAACGCTGCAGATTAAGAAACCAGTCAAGATGGTCTACTGGCAAAGTAGTAAACTTGTTTAGAGAAATGCGAAGCACATTAATGTCGATTACATCAACTCATTGACCACAAAACCATCACACTTTACAAAATCACAAACAAAAGCATTGCTTTTTGAGGTTTTGATGGATACACGGCAATCCAATGACTGAATGATGAGAAGTGAGCCAACCTAGGCATGAAAGCTGTGGCTCCATCCACCAAACTCTTCTGTGTTCTCTTCTTCCATCTGAGCAATCCGACAAAAGACCCGGTCGTTAACTCTGCCCGCGTTGTAGAAGAAAGTACTATGGAAATTAGCATCAGAGATGGCATAATGTCGCCTTACCTTCGCGGTAAAAGTAACACCAACACGGATCTCTCCGCAATAGCTTCGGTCAGAAAGAACCACACTGTACTTGGTGGGGCGCAGCTCTCCGGTTCCATTCTCCATGCCCTGAGTAATCAGGTCTCCAACATGGATCCTGCAATGCGAAACACAACCAGTTTGAACCAAAACTTACTTGCTGAATCCAAGACACTATCGTACACGTTTTGTTCTTCAAAGAGAATCATGTTATTTTCCTCTTTTAAGAATACAAATTAGTTAATGTCTTGTCTATTGACTTAAATCTTTTAGATAGAATGACATTAAGAGTCGAAAGTCTTATGTTCAAATCTCATCTAGACCACACATTAATATATATGTATTCACTTAGAGAATTGTCATTAAGAATATATATCAGCTAATATCTTTCATCTACTAACTTAAGCTCTTAGATAGAATGACATTGATAAAAGAAAAAAAAAAATAAGATGGTATCAAAACAGAAGGTTTTATGTTCAAATCTTATGCAAAATCGTACATCAGATAATATATATATATATCTCTTATCAATTCAAGTTTCACTTGGTGGGTTTGAGATGTGATCATGTCTCATCTTCTAGCTTCAACTTCTAAACGAAATGACAGTGATCAATAATTCAAGATGATCGATGGCCTACTTACGTGCTCTCACCGAGGAAATCATCAGATGTGAACGTATCATGGTCCATGACCCTCATGGTGATCTTGTGCTGCTGATGATTGCCTGCGGCCGCCGAGTTGACCAAGAACTTGAACGTCTCGTTCCAAGATGGATTACTTCCCTGGCCTGCACCACCAGAATCTGATGTCTTACATAAGAATTGGTCAAAAGAAATCGTCACTCCCTCTTTAATTCATGGAATCAAGAGATTATTTTGTTTGTCGAGGAGGAAGAAGAAACAAGCAACTCATGTCACCAATTGGCAGCTCTACTTCTGCCACACAGGAGGCGTCGACTGACCTCGCGCAGTTTTGCTCTTGCGCTCTTGGCCTCTGTATTGAATCACCACGTACGGGTCGATCTTGCCTGCGGCCACCTCATGCCAATTAGACCAACGAGATATAGAGATCCGACGGTAGCACTGGATTGAGAGTTACCTATTAGATCGGTGTCCTTCAGCCCCTTGGCATCGATCAGCTGCACCTCCAATATGCCTTTCGCCATCTCTGCCTTGTTCCTCCTCAGATCTTTTTCCCCTCTCGGAAACTATCGGAAGAGAAGGAATGGCATCTTAAGACCAGTCCAAGTCTGAACAAGTCGTCCCCTCCATTTTCCAGGTCAATCATGCACGCCCTCTTGGTGCTTCGAGATTCACATGCGGTGGATCTTGACGTAGGTGGACCGGATGCGGAGACTGACTTTGTCTCAAACCACTGACCAGGGATTCCACCAACCTCTTAGCAAATGACGGAGAGCCATGTCGAGAACTCACACGAGCAATCCGAGAGTCGCGTTCCAACAACTTTCTCCCTCGATGAAAGGAATCGATCGGGACGGGATTGGCGTGTCATCGACGGAACTCCCTTCTTGGTCATTTCGTCGAACGACTCGAAGGCGAGGGCTCGCATCTTGGTTCATGCAGCACCCGGATACCACGGCGTCGTGGGATTCTCCTCCGTCCGGTCGTACAGCTCGAACTCGTTACCAGCGAACCCAAACGCATCTCCCCCATCCGATCGAACGGGCGCCTCGCTGTGTCAAAGCTGCCTCTTTTACCGGTAGAGTGGTGGGGAAGGCGTCTTTGGAATCGAGTGGCGGCGTCGTTGGCGACTCGATGTGACATTGACAGCTGTAGTGACCATATCTGACATCATTTTCGGAACCGATGTTTTTTATTTTCTAAATTACGAATAAAATCGAATTGACAAAAGTCGAGTTTCTGATTCGGACGATTTTTTATATTTTTATATTTTAAATTAAAAAAAGCTTATAAATTTATTTTTAATAATAATAATAATAATAATTTAAAATTATGAAACCAAAATCAATTTCAGCTCAGCTAAGTCGGTTTGATTTCGATTCTTCTTTTGACCATTAAATTTTTAAGAAGTTGAATTTTTAAAAAATAACTTCTCCTTTATTTTTTTTTATTCTCAATAGTATCTCTCATTTTTTGCATGTGTCCAAAAATACTTCTAATAGGACAATTAAAAAAGTTCACATCCATTATATTGGACCGTTGATCGATTATAATATATTTGAATAGGATTATAATATTTTTATACATATCAAAATAATAATTTTATTAAAAAACATTGTAATCGATATATAAGTCATTTTTTTATGTTTTATTTTTAAATAAAAATATATCAAAGTTGGTAAGTTGGTTTGTATTAGATTCTGAATCAATTATAATGTGTTTATATAAGCTTAAAATATTTTATGAAGGTATTAAAAATATTTTATTTAGTAATAAACTGATTCACTTATGGACCTGTCTTCTAATAAAAGGGGGGACGAGAGTTTGTTCGTTTGGTCTATCTTATTAGGGATATTTTAGAATTAAAAAATGATATACGGATGAAAAAAATATTTTAATCATTTCAAAGCTCGTACGACGATCTAATTAGTAAATTAAACCGGTCTGATCCGTGATTTATAACTACGCTATGCTTTTGATGCCTGTTGGGGTCGACAAGATCTTCATGCTGCATTGAATGGCGCTGGGGAACACTTGAATGACGAATCCACTGCGTGTTGTCACTTCCAAAAGGAGGCGTAGATTGGGTCCATTGAGCATGAGTAAAGCAACAAGTGGTGTCGTCGTCCCTTTTGGTTAGGGTGAGAGTTGCAGGACGACATGTCCCTTCTTTTACCTCTGCAAAGTGAAAGGCCACCTTCCTTTGCCTCCTGAAGCATCCATCTTCTCTTACCTACATTTCATGGATGACTGCTCATCTTCTCCTTGGAACTCAGCTGCCATTACAACAGTTGGAAAGCTTAAAAGAAAGCTTGTAGATGCAGTCTACTTACTGATCTCTCTGCCTCTGAGAGAGACCCACGATTCTGGTTTCTGTAATGAGAACAATGAATGGAACACAGTGAACTCAGTGTGTCACTGCGACTTGGTCGACGGGGAGGGTGATGCTTCGATGGCTGGGGAGGGCGAGCACGGCGGTGTGGTCCAGGAAATCTTTGAGGGCCACGACGGCCTCGAGAATTGTCCGCAGATCGTCGGCGCAGGAAAAGCCGGCCGCGCCATGCCGCCGCGCGGCGTAGACGTAGAACGTGAGGCATCCCTTCCGGAACTTGAACCGCGACATCTCGCAGCCGGCGAGCCCCCGGATGAGCTTCCGGTTGACGTCGCCCAGGGGGATCACGCGCGGCCACAGCCGGCCCGCCGCCGCCTTCGTGCTCTCGGAGTCGAAGACGAAGATGATCGCCTTGGACTTGGCGGTGCCGAGGCCGAGGGTGAGAGTGTGCCAGGCGTGGTGGGCGAGGATGGTGAAGTTGGTGGGCACGTAGGTAAGGGTGGAAGGGAGAGAGAGGGCCTGGCACTGGCCGACGCAGGGAGGAGGGAGGTCCAGAAGCTGTCGTAGCTCAAGCGGCGCCGCCTGCCGGACGGTGAAGGACTTGACCACAAACTGGCCGCCGAAGCGGAGGCCTTTGACGTCGGCGCTCGACTTGAAGTGGGGCTGATCCGCTGCCGGCTTGTTCTTGGGACCCTTTTGCTGATCCTTCTCCTTGTGTTTGTGTTTCTTCCTCTTCTGCTGCTCCTCCTCCTCTGCCATGTTGGCTGCTTCAACGGGTCACTGGCCGCAGCTTGAAGCTTAGGGAGAGGCAAGGTGGTGATCAAACACGAAGTTCGCCGAAAGCAGGCGAACCGAGATCGTCACATGAACAGACGACTTTTATCTGCCATCATAAATGGAGCAGAGATGAAGGAAACATGCAGTGGAATAATGCACATTAAGCCAATTCATACAACACAACTTTCATGCTTACTTTTTAATGAGTAATGTGGCAGCACCATAATGATCCATCATAATTTGCACAAACCATTTGCCCCTATCTTTTGTGGAGCAGCAAGACAATTATAGAACGGCAATATATATCACAAACTGAGCCATTGATTTCCCAAAACTATCATCATTCTGTACATCTGATAGATTTTTCTCCAGTTGAACAGGATAAATGCATCAAACTGAGCCAATGGTTGCCAATTAACTTTCGTCCACTTGTTTGTGGTGATGCACCAAGGGGGCACCTTGAAAAAGGATGAACTAAGAAGTACATGGTATTCTGTCCACCACATTCTAAAGATTCTTACCTTCCATCATGTTTTCATGTTGACTGCATGATGTATGAGAATTTAAATAGAAACTCCTACAAGTCTCAGGTATCTCACATCCATTAAAGTCAAAAAGCACACCTTCATCCCAAATATTCTTTAATCTCTTGTTTTCAAAGACCATGTATATGTCTTGCAAGATGACATAGAATCACATGAATTAGAAGTTTGACAAGGGTCTTCTCCGAGTCCTGCATTAAAAAATAGTTCATGATGCACAAGCAACAGAGCACATCACCACACGTTTGATTCACTATGCTTGACCCAGCTGAGCAGCATCATCATCTTTTTGAAAGCTCCTTTAGACATCAATGAATCCAGTAAATGATGATAAATGTCCCCCAAAATGCCTAGTCAATTCTACCTGGAGAAGACCCACCACAGATCAACCTAATCTAATCAAGCCAAATCGAATCCATCAGGAGTTTCAGATAAAATTAATCACAGGTAGACAACACTAATATCCAGTCAACACTATCTTCATAATTCTTCATAATTGCTACTTCTTTTGTTCATAACTCAGTCCTTACACATTGTGATAGAGTCACAATTAATTGATCAAGGAAAAAACATTGACAAAAGACCAATGGCTTAAACTACAACTAAAATATACTTTCTAGGTACAAGAGGAGACAATTTCATACGAATATGTCCAAGTGCATCAAAATTAGTTCTACATCATGCTTCAGCAATCCATACAAGAAATCTGAAGCACAGTGGAGCTTCTTCAATTCTACTTCCAATGACAGACCCTAGTTAAACAATAAGTAGGTTATTGTATGCATCAAGAAGACTTGCATCGTATTGTAAAACCATGTTTAAAATCCCTGTTTAAGACACTATTAAGAACATAGAGGTTTTTGCATTTACCTAATACATAGCATATTTGCAGCAAATCCTATACACCAGTCACCCTTAGAGACAATCGAATAAGTTGTCCTCCTTTTATCCTCATCAAGTGATTCGTCATTGTTATCAATATCAACAGAGTTGCACTGTTTTCCTTTGCTCGATGTCGCAACCTTTGAAAGATTAGGTGAGTCCAGACACTTTGTCAATTTCTCTTCTTGCGCTGGTGGTTCCTGCATCTATGCTTGGAAGATTTCTTCCCCTTTCTCAAGTGCAAGTCATCTGATCCATTGCTCTCTGAACCATTCTCGGAATATGCCCTCTTCTTCCTAGTTTGTTCATGCTCATCAGAGTCGCTCTCAGAGTCATTCCTCTGCGAATTCTTCCGTTTATGGTGGTGGCGGTGATGCCTATCAGACTTCCCTTCTGACTCATCATCAGAATCATCTTTCCTATGCCTCCTCGTCTTCTTATCCTTCCTACTCTTCCTACTATGCTTATGCCGTGGTTTCTCCTCCCCGTCATCATCAGAACGCCTATGCCTCCTCCTCTTCTCCCTCTTCTCGTCCTCTTCTTCGCTATCGGGGTCGTTGCCCCCACCTGAGTTCTTATTGTCACTCCTCTTCTTGGATCTCCGTTGCCACCACTGACTCCCCTTCTTCTCTTCAGAATTGTCCTCCATCCTCTTCCTCGACTTCTTACTGAATCGTGCAGCGATGATCTTCTCAATATCTGGATCAATGTCGGAGTCCGAGCTATCGCTCTCCTCTTCCTCTTCCTCGCTGCTTTCGGGCTCGAGTCCGCTGGACTTCTTGATCTGCTCGAAGGCGGTGTGGGCAGCGGCCTGAATGGCGTCGGCGTCCTTGTCCTTGTCGAAAACAGCGGAATCCTTGGCGCTGAGAAAGTTGCGGCACTGGAAGGTGAGGTGGCCGACGCGGCCGCACTTCCTGCAGGAGCCCCGGGCCTCGTTGGATCCGGAGCCGGTGACGCGGGCGAGGGCGAGGAGTCCCTGGAAGCTGGCATAAGCGTTCTCGGCGGCGGAGCCATCCTCGCCGGGGAGTGCGGATTCCTTGGCCGAGTCCTTGTTGGCGGGGGCGTAAGGGTCGTACCCGATGGCACTCTGCCATATGCCGTGGGTCTGCAGAGCGGCGCTGCTGTGCACCCGGTTGTTCGCCGGCATCCGGACGCGCCCCGCGGTCGCCGGCATCTTCGCAGATGGAAGCTAGGGTTTCCTCTGAAGGAGAGAAGATGAAGGGGGTGTGCGACGATTGAGACAGATGAAATCGGGGAAGAAAGACGACCCATTCATAGAGAGACCGAACAAACCGGTTCTATCAGAGCACCTCTTGAATCCGAACCCGAACCCGAACCCGAACCCGAATCCGAATCCGAATCCGAATCGAACTATATGATTACACGGATTGGAAGAGACGGATGTGCAATACGCTGTGATTTGACAACCGCGTGAACATATCTTAACCCACTCCATGGGCACAAACTGCGAACGAGAAGACGCCTCTGAAACCTCGAGAACTAACTGAAGTGAACACAACAATACTCAGATATCACATAATGTAATCATAATTTGTTACATATGACCAAATTTATTTGGCAATGACATGATGCAAGCGGAAAGCTAATGCTAGAAGCAAAGCAAGTCGAAATTGTTTACCACGCATTTAGAGGGTTCAATCATCAGCAAATAATAGAATTGATGCTAACTGATCTTGAATTCAGTGGCTGAACTGAGTTGTGACGGGTTCTAGAACGCTTAATCTGGAGTGGGAGCGCCCTGATTCAGCTCTGCAAATCTCATGCCGACCCTCATCGAATGCTTCAGAAATTTCTCGGCACACCTGCGAACGCATGTTTCTTCTTGCTTATCAAGAGATTTGCGACGGAAGGTGTCCACGCATTCGGAAAAGCACCTCTCCACTAGTGTATTGTACATTCTTAAACTGCAAGACCGATGGAGACACAAGAATCAGACACAAGGTCCATCGAATGAATATAGCTAAAACAATTGGAAGTAAAATTTATTGATGAACCTATCCACAGATTAAGTAGAAAGTGATACCACAATGCTAAATCAACAGCTTCTAGTAAATAAATAAAACCTATACTTGAATATAACTAAAACACAAAAATGGCAATCATTATCCTGGGAACTATATGGAACACCAGCAGGAAATTAAGATTACAATCACATATGCCACACAAATTTGATTCATAAGAGAAAAGTACAAACTGATGCATCATCCTGAGTTTTTAGTATATTGAAAAATGTAGACAGATGCCTCATACTATATCCATTGCATAAACCAGTCAGACATCTTATATGGCTTAGTCAATACAAACTCTAAGGACTAACAATAATGAATAAACCAGTAACTTATCCAATGTAAGGTTCCAGTCATAGATGGAGTGTGACTCCTATACACAAATGTATATCTCCCAACTACAAATACAGTAACTGCTGAAGCTCAACTAGAATAATGCTAGAGGTACATGCAATTCCTCCAAAAATACTAAAAAGAATTGTAACAATCATCAATTCCCTTCAAACTACAGAAACGAAAATATAATACAGAGAACGAATCATTACTGAAGAAAGGAGGTATATGCATTAGAGTTTCAAATAGTCCTACAATTATCAGTTAATTGTCGTAAGACAGCGACTACAGTATTTTCAAATGGTTGTCTAGATTTAAAGGTAGTTCAGAAACAACAACATGATACAGAGAATGAATCCTTACTGAAGAAATGAGGTAAACACATCAGAGTTTCCAAATACCTCACTACTATCGGGTAAATTTCATAAGCAAGCAACTACAGTTTTTTCCAAATGGCTGTCGAGACAAAAAAGGTACTTCTAGTCTAACTAAGCTCTAGTATGATTCCATATGAAATAAATGTTAAACTTCATGTAACAAGAAAGATTATATTAAGCACATCTGCAAAAAAACAAAAAAGTAGTTGGCCATCGATGAGAATAATTGTCCAAACTATCTTGAAGCAGACAATTCAGGATATGTTTGTTTTACGATTTCTAGAACAATATGCTGCTTGCATATCTAGTCTCTGATTGGAAGCTCAAGTAGTTTTAAGTTAACCACAGAATCAAACCTAAGCACATAACATTTCAATCAGGGGTTACAAACTTGAAGCAGCTAGACTCAGACATGACCTGGAGCCGATTTCTGGACAACATAGTACATGATAAAATCTCAATCCCCTTTTTTTCAGACAACCAAGACCTAACTCAAGTTGATCAGGATTCCCTACAGCAACAACATAACTAATCATTAATCATACATTCATGTAAGCTAACAAACAGATGCGCTAAATTCATACTATAGGCAAAAACCACCCTTTTACTATAGTGATGACATGTAAAGCTGTGAATCAAGGGCCAGAGTAAAAAACATCCTATATAGGTGTAAGTATGCACATATTGACCCTCCACAATCCTTGCATCAGCAGGAGCCTTGTGCACTACACTGTCTAAAATATTCATACGAATTACAGAGACAACCAAAATATTCATCCACACAAAGTGTAGTTGAACCACAGCAACCCATAATTCCACCACTCGTTTCTAGAAGAGGATGAGCATTTGCATCATGTTAAGGTTGCTCATACATGACCTATGTAACCTATGCCTCTCTGTGTGCACTAGACCTTGCATCAGCACAAGCCTTCTCCATCAGACTTGCTCTTTTATGTTCTAGGAAGACACAGTACAAAGAAAAACAAAAACCAAGGCTTCTTGATTCCTACTACAACAACCCAAATAAATGCCTTACTATGTTTGCTGCATCTGACAATATCACATTCGCATAGGAAATCACAATAGCCAGCAAATAAAACTTTGTTGGTTCCTCTTTTCATCAAATATATCCACCTGACAAATTTGTTTCTTTTCCTTGATTCGTTCTACAACAACCCAAATAAATGCCTTACTATGTTTGCTGCATCTGACAATATCACATTCGCATAGGAAATCACAATAGCCAGTAAATAAAACTTTGTTGGTTCCTCTTTTCACCAAATATATCCATGTAACAAAATTGTTTCTTTTGCTTGGTAATGTCACCATACACTTTTTACCATATTCTAGCAACATCGTGAGGCAGACAATCATGAAGCAGCAGCAAATTAACAGAAACAAGGGTCTTTAACTGTGCTCTTCATTTGCCTCTTTAACTCGGTTTGCAGCAGATCTAATAATCAAGTAACTGAACTAATGATTCGTTGGATATTATCGATCATCCGATAAATTGCCTGACGTTAAGAACACTCGACGCGTCCAAAAAAGACGGAAAATAAACAAAGGACGAAGAAGCAAATATCTGATGGTGAAAGCGGAGTTGGAAAGACCTGTCCCGAATCTGGAGCTGATCTATCATGGCGGACATCCTGATCTTGTCCTCCTCAGGGAGAGACTCGAGATCTCCGAGCATGCTCTTGTCCATCGCTGCGCGTCGCCTCTTCTTCCAGCCCTCACTCCAGAGGTTTAGGGGCCGACGGACGGGAGCTTGGCGAGAAAAACCCTAGTCGAGCGAGCGACCGTTTGGTCTAAAAACGGATCGAACATTGCTCGTACACCCGTACCCGCTTTAAATTGGTAACCATGAATACCCCCATATAACGGACGCTCTAAAAACGGGTCGGGCATAGATCATATACCCGTACCCGCTTTAAATTAGTAACTGAGTCATTGTTATTTCACCCGCTTTAAACTTTGGGTAATTAAGAAAAAAAAAAAACCTCAGCAATGGGGATTTATTTACCTCTGAAATATCTAAAAATATCTAAAAAAACGTTGAATCATTTATTTTAAAATATCTAAAATATATATTTTTAAAAATGATAAAAATATCCTTACTAACAACTGACAGTTTTATTTTTTTGAATTTTGGTGTTAAACCAAATCTGTTTTTGAATATGATTATACCAATCTAATTATTTTTTTACTTTAACTAAAAATATTTTAATAATCTTATCATATTTATTAATTTTTTTATAAAAAAATTAAAATTTTAAATATATTATAATTTTAATAATCTTATCATGTTTATTAAAATTTCATTAAAAAAATTAATTTTTTAAATATATATTTTTAAAACATGTTAGGGCTACAATATTTTTCTCACACCTACAAAAACATGATAAAAGGATTTGTCAAGTTACATACAGTATTTATATAAAAGCACTTAAATATTTTGTCAAAAGTAATTTTAAGACTAAGGAAAATAAAATATCGGGAAAAAACAAAAAATGAGATATTTTTCGAAAAAGTTCAAAATGAGGGGTTTTTTTATTTTTTGTTGCGGATCAAATTTCGAGTCTAATAACAATTTTGAGTCATAGAAACAAAAAAATTACAATTTGAAGTCAAACCCGCACCAGTCTTTATTGTTACAGCTCTACGATTCGCTGCCCCCATTTCCAACGACTTCGCGGCGACGGCGGGCGATGGGAACGCCGTGGACTCTCTTCGATCCGTATCTCCTCCTCTTTTCTCTGGTTCGTCTCCTCTCCCTCTCCCTCTCCCTCTCCCTCTCCGTCCCTTCTCTCGTTTCCACTTCCAAACCCTAATACCCTCCGGATTTGTTGCTTTACATGGATCTCCCCTTACGACCTAGTGCGATCGCAGGTGCTGGTCGCAGTGTTTGGCGTCGCCGCTTTCTTCCTCGAGCACATGAGAAGGATCGGTTGCAAACATTCGTAATCCGCCCTTTCCCAATCTCGACAGTCCTCGTCTTTTCTTTCGATGTTTCTTTCTACTTAGCGCGGCTGTTTAATTTCGGTTTCCTTTTTCCAGACTTGAAAGAACCGCTTCTTCGGATGATTTCTTCGAAGATCCGAACTCCCTGAAGAAGGTATTAGCGTCAATGACCGTTATCTTTCTTGAATTTGTACCTGAAATTTCCACTTAGACATCAGGGATTCTAGATGCATTAACTACTTGACACTGAGAAATATTGGATTATTCGTCACGATATCATCATCACACAATGAAGTTAGTCACACAGAATAGACGAGGAAGATTCATATAGAATTTGCACTTAGTTGAACTTTGTGGTTGTTGGTTCGAATACGTTTTGTGTCGGTATATCTGATCGAGTGGGTACATGCAGCATTGTCTATGGCGCAACATTGTAGTATGATATTATGTCATAGAAATTCGAGAATGATGTTTCAGGCCTATTGCTAGCTTGAATGAAAAATCTCTGATTTGTCTGTCAATCCTTTTATTTTTGTTAGTTAGCTGGAACGTGCTTTCCTCTTGCGTTTTTAGTGACCAATAAGTCAATTAGTTCCTTTGAAGTGTAAGAAAGATGATGTCAAGAACAATTGATTGATTAAAAAAAATGTGTTCCCTGCACATGGAATTGCATCATGAGATTATTCATAAGTTTCTTAACTGCTTTAATTTGGCACTGTGTAGCTTGTCATGTGTTTCTCAGTATTTGATAACATTTCAAAGTGCTTCCTTTCCTGAGAACATGGTGTCTTGTTTTATTGTGTTGTTACAATGAAGCTTTGCTATACCATCGAACTTTGTCACCTTGGCTTTGTACTGTCTAGTTTTTTAGCTGACTGCTTGCAGAACTACCTGCTATATTTTGAATATGGGTTTCTAGTTTCATTTCAATTTTTACATTGACTGACTATTTCTTTGTCACCGTATTGTTCTTGTTATACATTTGAATTTGCAACATGGAAGGGTAATAATTAAATGGAAGCATTACACTTTGATGGCATGTATGCTGAAGAAGAGAGACAATAAGCAGAAAAAGGAAAAGAACAAGGGAAACAAGATGTTGCGAGTTACTGAACACATAAATATGGTTATTTGCTTATATCTGTTATTAATCCTTGATAATTTGTTAAAAGTGCATGAATATGCATGAAATTTATTTGTAAAGTTTGACTGGAAACACAGAGAGTTAAATGAGGAAAATGATAAAATGAGCACAAGGTTGATATAAGAAATATATCTGTGATAATTGTGATATTTTACGATGTTGTTGGCTTGTGGCCTTAGTTTTACCAACCACACAGCTTCAAATTTTCCTATTATTTCATATGTCTTGATGTATAGTTATCGATGATGAATTTTTCCTATCTAGGGAGTATTACTTTGCTACGGAAAATAGTAATCTCCAGATGATCTGCTAACTTCCAGTTGGGGACCTCATTGTTACTATTGGTATCTTATGATGGCTGCTTCAAATAGTTCTACAGAAATCCTAACCTTCAATTGTCTATGGCAGGTCCGTTGTCCCTCTGTATTTGATCAAGCTGAAAAGTACATATCTCTGATTATTCCTGCATTCAACGAGGAGCATAGGCTTCCTGGAGCTTTCGCTGAGACCATTAAGTAAGTGGACGAATGTCTTGTTCAGTGCACATTGGCTAAGCTGCTGAAAATTTTCTAAATCTTCATCAGTTACACAATTTTTCATTAATTCAATGGAAATATCATGTTAATCGTTATGGTAATATATTGAAACAACACTTCCAGCAAAGGACCTTATGAGATCATCATTAAAGCTTGGTTTTCAATGATTCTTTGGTTAAATAATGTCATCTACCTCTGATAATTTTGCTGCTTATGTACTTCTATAACTGTTTTGTAGCTATCTCCAAAAACGTTCAGCCTCAGACAAGTCCTTTTCGTATGAGGTATGCAAAAGGACAATAATGGTTCTGTCGTCTCATTTGCTTCACAGTCAGTGATCTTGATATCTATATGCCACTAACATTTTCCCTAAATATACCACTAATTGATATGCCAACCTTAAATAGTTGGGACTTACGGCCTTATTGTTGTTGTTGTATACCATTAATTGATATGTTGGGAACATATACTCTTATAAGTTTCATCTTATTAATCTTTCTTTCTGGGATTTGCATTTTGTAGAATTACATATCGCTGGCTAAGCCAAAACTTTTCCAGTACCAAGAACTATGCCTTGTTTATATCATTTATTTTAGCAAACATTCATCCAGGGAAACAAGCAATGATTTTAATAATTTTAACGTTTGACTGGTTATGGAAAGGGGGAAGGGGATTTCATTATAGTCACATCTTTTATTTTTGGAATGCATGCTGTAGTTTGCTATTTTACAGAAGCCGGTAGATTTTCTAATCTTGCATGGTAAGACTTTAGACCCTGTTAATCTTCTTAATCTCAAATCAACTTCATGGTAGATTTATCTAGCACTTGACCATATAACATAAAGTAACCTTCATCACTAAAAAATGTCTAATTGTCTACCTAGAATAGCAGCACCATGGAATATTGAGAAGCTAATAATTATATCTAAACATTTTTGCAGAATAGTTACGTTCTTCATGTTTACTTTTCTTTGTTGATAGATCAGGTAATAATCTTGGGATACCATTAATTTAGAGGTAGCTGCATGGCAACCACAAACATTTTCGATTAGAGGCTGTGATGGTCCTGTAAAGCAGAATTTAAAGCAGATATTTGGATACTGAAGTTGCACCTTGAGCTTAGAACATTAAACAATACCATTGTAGCTGACATGTTAACCCCTCAAAAGCAACGTATTTTTATGTAGAAAGCATCCCAAAGGGATAGAACTTCTAGAAGTAATCTCAACTGTTGCTTGCGCAGCCATTTGTCAGATGTGGACAATATACACTTAATTAATTAAGGAAGGAGAAAAAGAATGAATAAGGTTACTGGAAAAAGAATAACAGGATAGAATGCAATGATTAAGTTGGTTTTGGATCAGTTTTAGCAAAGATTAAGTTCAAGAGATGCACCATAGTGAAGTGCTTATGCTTCCTTGTTTTGAAAAAACAAATGCAATGCCGAAGATATGCTCTTATCGGTTGTGCTGAGTTAAATTGTATAACATAGTTTGATCAGTGTGTCAAGGTGATATTTTATTTTTTTGTTCCTTGTGATGGCATGTGTTGCATGAAGAGCAATGCTAAAGTAATTACTCAACTTCGCATGATCAGAGTACTATATCGGTGATAATATCTGTATCTTCTGTTCCTAGGCTGTCTTATGCATCACCCTATTACTTTTAGTCACTCTTCACTTCTCATAAGTCACTTGAACGGCTTTTCTGAAAAAGGATGATGGGTTCATCGATTCTGTTTCCTTGAATCTGCTTCTTCACAGGTGTTGATTGTTGATGATGGGAGCAGTGATCGGACATCAAATGTAGCTTTTGATTTTGTTAGGAAATACAAGATTGAAAATGTAAGGGTTTTAATTCTTGGGAGAAATCATGGAAAAGGTGAAGCTATAAGAAAGGTGAGTCATATATGTCCTGCTTGTCTCTTTTGCTCATGGTAGTGAACAATTTTGTTTTTGACTTCTAGTATTGTACTTGTAGTCATGGATATATAATTCATGATGTTTGAGCATTTTGTGATAATCATTTGTGATGCTAGGTAGCTAAGTTGTTGTACCTTTTTCAACACTGACCAGTTGCTGCTTCACAACTCTGTGAAAGCATTGTTAAACAGGGAATGCTACATTCACGTGGTGAATTACTCCTTATGCTTGATGCTGATGGAGCAACCAAAATAACTGACCTGGAAAAGCTCGAATGTCAGGTTGTCTAAGCACTAGGGTGAAGTATCATCACTGGATGATGTTTTCACTTACCATGGGAATGATGACAGCTTTTATTTTTACTGTTAGATTTGCACATTAGCCGAGAAGGTTAAAGAATTGAATCCCGATGATCAGAGTTTGAAGTTATCTGATATTGAAGTTGCTGCATTTGGTTCTCGCGCTCATCTGGAGAAACAGGCTCTTGCCACGGTTCATTTCCTTTTCCTCTTAATTTTTTGTTAACCTTTCCTTTTCTTTTCCTCAGCTGTTCTATATTGTTCTAGAGGAAGTGGTACAGGAATCTTCTCATGAAGGGCTTCCATCTAGTTGTTCTGTTGACTGCCGGTCCTGGAATCCGTGATACTCAGGTACTTTTCTTTACATCAACCTCAACACACAAAAGGATTTTCTGCCTAAAATGATGTTAATGCTATGACTGCTGACATTGTGGACCCTTCTATAAACGTGAGAAAATTTTGTTAGTGGTCTTTCCTATTTTACTTAGATCCTCATGTCTGTTGCAGTGTGGCTTTAAGATGTTCACACGAACTGCTGCCAGGAGATTGTTCACAAATATGAGACTAAAAAGGTACTTAATTCCTAGAAGTGTTCTTGCTTTTGTTGATATTCTGTACACTTTTTTTAATGCGGTTCTTTTTTCTTGAAAAGTTGGTAGCATTGAGCTGCAGATAACATATACCAAATTTTTGCTAATTGGACGAGAATTCAAAACCCATAAAGGATTAGAAGAGCGGTGAAAATCAATCAGAAGTTAGATAACAGTATAACCCTGAAGTTATGAGAAGTATACTGATCACCAACAGGCATGGTGTCCATGTCTGCTTTTGTTGGTTAAACATTTAAACTGGATTATAGCAGTACTATGTCCGTGATTGTCCAATCCGGCTTTACAATCATATTACAGAGGAAACTCATTGCTTAAAATGTCTTTGGGAGTTCACAAATATTTTGATCAGTTTCATCTTGGAAGTGATTGCTAAGCATTCAATTGTGTATAATCATTTTTCTCGATAAGATAACTCGGGATATAACCTTGTTCAGTATGTACTTGATATTGATGACTTAATCACCATGGTCTCTATAACCTAGGGGTTTCTGGTGATTGAGCAACCTGGACAAATAACAAGAGAACTTCTGACTGTGCTGAGTTCTATCAACTTGCATCTATTTTGGTTTCCAGGTTTCCCAAATGTTCTAGATCGAGTTTATATTTATATGGCTCTTTATTTTAGATTACAAGGCATGGCATGAATGAAGCCATTAGAGGGATATGTTGGCTGAGTCAATCTGAAAATCTATTTCTGCCTTACTGAATTCTTTAGAGTTATGTTTGATGCTTATTAGCATGGAATGTTTTGCCAGTCGTCCAGGGCAAGTGCCTTACACAGCTATGGCATGACAGTCTACGGTGGCATATAGGTATCGGCATATGCTCCTATGCCATGAAATGACAACCTTTGATCTAACTATCTCATAGTTGTTATGATGAAACTTTCATTTTTCTATTATTTGGTGATTCATCATATTATATACTGTTTGAGTTTGTTTGCCCTTCTTACTTCATGAAATTGATAAATTTCATTCAGTTGAGCAGTGTACTAAGAGAGTTTATGGTATTTGTATGAAATGCATTTTCATCTCATGCAGGTGGTGCTTTGATGTTGAGCTGGTCTACTTATGCAAGCATCTCAGCATACCAATGATTGAGGTCTCTGTTAACTGGTCTGAGATTCCAGGATCCAAAGTGCGCTTGACTAGTATCATTCACATGCTTTTTGAGCTTATTCTGATTCGACTGGGTTATGGGTTAGGCATATGGAAAATACACACCTGATATGTGTATCATCTCTTGAAAGGAGGGTAGGATATCTTCCAATTCTCTTGGTGAAAACACAGATGGAGTTAGCAGGAATGAAGAACTTGTGACATGGTGCCTGCGCCATTTTGTCAACCTGGCACTCCAAATGAATCTGTTAACACTAACTTTTTGCGGCTATTTTAAGCATCTGAGCATCTGTTCTTTTGAGGGATTCTTTCTGAATCATGACTTTCTACATCAAGAAATTTTAACTTGAAAGAGCAGCATAATTTCAGTATAATGCACTTGATTTATGTTGATGCTTTATGGTAATAAAGTTCTGTTTGTTTTAAGGTGGTCATCTGTTAAGAGAAAATATCATTGACATTTTGGTCAGTTCGACATGATTCGGACCCGTGCGCAGGATTGTCTAAAGTGTCACCGAGGTAAAAATATTATACTCTTAATGTGTCACCTGCATGAAGATGGAGGTCGGGGGAGGTTTCTCGACCTGATTCTTTTGACACTTAAGTTAGTAATCCCAGATCCTTAGGTTCTAATAGTTCAAAATGAGTTATTTACATTGGGTTTAAGATTTTTTTTATATCTTAGGAGTAGGGAGTTTATGATTGTCTTTCTCGTGATAATAGGTGAGAAGGAAGTTTATAATTGTCTTCTTTGTCATAAAAGATGAAAAAAAAACTTGTGATTGTCTTTCTTATCATAATAGATAGGAAGAAAGTTTGTGATTGTCTTTCTTGTCTTAATGAAAAAGAGGGAAGCTTATGTTTGTCTACTTTGAATTGGTAGATGAGTGGAGGGTGACTTGGATCTCATATGACAATCACGTGTCAGTCGACATTATATTCTTTATCATTTGTCTCCTTCAAAAGTGTGCTTCAGAGCTCTTGTGGGAGGAGTTTGAAGCGTATCATTTAGTTCATTTGACATGGGAGCATTCAGGATCCCGTCTTACAGGTCGGATTTTCCCAATTCAAGTGTCTCGGGCACATTTGGGCTCGTGTTTTTGTTATAGTGCGTTTTTCTTAGCGTGGGTTGAATTTCTCGACTCATACATCTGAGGCACATTGGCCTTGTGCTTTTGTCATAGCGGATTTCTTCACACGGGTCATTTTTCTTTAACTCATGTGTCTTACATTGGCCTTGTGCTTTTGTCATAGCGGATTTCTTCACATGGGTCATTTTTCTTTAACTCATGTGTCTTTGGCATGTTTCACCTTGTGCTTCCGCTGTAGCGAATTTATATTAGCATAGGTCGGATTTTCCCAACTCATGCCTCGGGCACATTTTGCCTGGTTCCTTCGTCATAGTAAATTTCTTCACGTAGGTCAAGTTTTCCCGACTCATGCGTCTCGAGCACGTTGGCCTTGTGCTTCCGTCATAGTGGATTTCTCTTCACATGAGTTAATTTTTCCATACTCATGCATCTCGGGATGCATTTGGCCTTGCACCATCATCGTGGCAGATATACCTTGGCGCGGGTCGTGTTTCTTGACTCACACGTCTCTGGTGCATTTGGCCTTGTGCCTCTATCGTAACATATTTTTCTTCACGCAAGTCGAGTTTTTTCGACTCATATGTCTCACCTCTATCATAATATATTTTTCTTCACGCAAGTCGAGTTTTTTCGACTCATATGTCTCATGTGCATATGTTCTTGCGCCTTCATCATAGTGGATTTTTCTTCATGTGGGTCGGGTTTTCTCGGCTTATACGACATTGGTGCATTTGACATTGCGCCTCTATCGTAGCAAATTTCTCTTCACGTGGGTTGGGTTTTCCCGACTCATGTGTCTCGAGCGCATTTGGCCTTGCGTCTTCACCATAGTAGATTTACCTTCACGCAGGTCAAGTTTTCCCGACTCATGCATCTCAGGCGCATTTGGTCTTATGCCTCTGTCATGGAAAATTTCTCTTCATATGGGTCAAGTTTTCTTGATTCATGTATCTCAAGCACATTTGGCCTTACGTATTCGTCGTAGTGGATTTCTCTTCACGCGGGTCAGGTTTTTCTAACTCACGCGTCTTAAGCACATTTGGCCTTGCGCCTCTGCTGTAGCGGATTTATCTTCACGTGAGTCATGTTTTCTCGACTTACACGTCTTGGGGCACATTTGGCCTTGCACCTCTGTCGTGGCAAATATACATTAGTGTGGGTTGTGCTTCCCGACTCACGCGTCTCAATCGCATTTGGCCTTACGCCTCCGTCGTATCATATTTCTCTTCATGTGGATCAAAATTTTCCAACTCACGTGTTTGTCTCGGGCACATTTGCTCTTACTCCTCCGCTGTAGTGGAATTTTTTTCACGCAAGTTGGGTTTTCTCAACTCACGCGTCTTGGGCGCATTTTGTTGAATCTCGTATTTTGATGATGAAACTACTTGATATATGTTTATGATTTAATCTGCGTTTTGAGTGACGCAGGATGCCTCGATCAGGATGAGACAATTAAAGCAGGAAAATCATGTTGTGCCGGAGGAACATGTCAGAAGATTGGACATCGGGCCGGTGGATCGGTCGACGTATCGACAGAAGGCTTCGGGCCGTGGACTCGGGCATCGGGCCAAGAAGAGCGGGTATTGTGCCAAGGATATCGGAGTTGCAGAGTCAACTGGCCGATTGGGCAATAGGCTGCAGGAAAGGACGATGCGCCGAAGAATCGGACGAAGCATCGAGGGACCAATGACATGCCGGACAACTTGGTTAATTGCTTAGGATTAATTGTCTCAATCGAAGTTTTTGTTTTGAGTGTGCAGGATTAACTACGATGAAAGTAAGACATGCAGCAGGAGTTGCGCCGGAGTCATGACAATGATCACGTTGGGAGTTCGAGAGCTTGACGGAAGTTCGGACAGTCGTCGGAGGTTCTGCGGGAACAAATCCGAGAAGTCCAGAAGCTTGCCAAAGGAGCTCGTCGGAACTTGCCAAGTGGATCGTCGCAGTCCAGGAGTTTGCCGGAAGTCCGTAGGAGCATCACCGAGGGTTCATCGGATGATCGACGGAAGTTCGCCGGAAGAAGCAAGTGACGCACCGAAGCAAGCTGCAGAATATGTCTTAGGAAATAATCGTAGTTAGCACTTTGATTAAGTTAGAAATGGGAGGTGATCCCATTAGCTTAATCCTGGGGCAATTGGGCCCCTGAAGAACTCAAATTGGGTCGAATGGTTCAACCCATTCGGACCCAGGTTGTTGTGGGAGGTGCAACCGCCCAGGCAGGGAGGTAGCACC